TTTACCAGCACCACAGGTGAACACCATGGACTAGATGAAGGTTCAATAACACCATCCTTCACCATTCCCTCAATCATGGTTTCCACTTCCTTTTCACGTGCTACAGGCAATCTTCTTGGCCGCTGACGAATAGGCAATTCTTGTCCTGTGTTTATTTTGTGTTGAACTAAGCCAGTCTTTCCTATGTCAGCTTCGTTTGACGAGAAAACATTGGCGTACTTGAGTAACAACTTCTTCGCCTTGACCATTTCATTCGGGGAGAGAACGCTGCGACAGTCTTCTAAAAGTGTGGTCACTCTCGTTTGTCCATCCTTGCTAGGGGTCCCGGTCGATAGATATTCGCACCGACGCAACCAATCCACTTCCTCACTAGTACCAACCAATGTGCCTTTTTCTATAATCTGTTCCTGATCACAAAGGTTCAACACACGTACTCCTGAGATGTCGGTGGTTCTGACCAAGGTTCGAGCCACTTTCCATGGAAGGTCATTGTCTACCCTTTCCACGAGTACACAACGATGAGCTTGCCCAGGACTCCGAGGAAGACTAACCGGCACAATCGTTTCCGATCTCGGCGGAAGAACAATCTTCTTAAGGCTGTACACATTCCCTGGTAACGCCCCTTCCATGAAAAGTTCCTCTTGTCCACATTTCAAAACACCTTGCTTAACGTCGATCTCACAACAATTCTTCCTCATAAAGTCTAGGCCCAGGATGCAGTCGTCCATTATATCAGCCACGATGACATTATGCGGGTAGATCATGTTGCCTAGCTTCAACTCCATCTCCTTCTCTCCACGGACGGGTATGCGCTGACCAGTGGCTGTCACCAAATTAATGCGTTCTCGGTTGTATGCGGAGTCCCCAAGGAACCGACTTATAAGTTGGGAACTGACAACCGTGCGAGAGTCTCCAGTGTCTATGGTCAGTCTACACGGCGTTCCGTTGACTTCGCCCTTGATGATTAGGCTGTTCCCATCATGGGTTTGTGAGATCGAAATCCTTGGGGCTCTTTTAACATCAGCCAGCACCCGCCCCGTAGTCCTGGCTTTTACTCGTTTCCCTGCTGCTGCTGGGCGGTGCTATTAGCCGCACTACACTCTCGAGATCGACCACCTTCCCTTTCTACAGTTCGCTTAGGGCAGCTGGATCGAAGATGGCCCCTTTCTCCACAGTCGTAGCACCTAGGGCTGTAGCTTTTATTGCGGTCCTGAACTGTAGCTGCTGCAACCTCCCTGACGCGGTGGGAACTATGATCCTGCCGCACGGCTTCCACATCCAGTGCATGGGTCAAGGCGTCCTTAAGCGTCTCGTGGTGCCCGAGCCTCACAGCAGCTCTGACTTCAAGGTCGCGGATGCCGTCGATGAATATCTGAACCAGGTTCCCTACAATAAGCGCAGGTACAGACTGGTACGCTTTTCGAACCAGCTTCTCCACATCAAGGGCCCACTGCTGCAGGTTTTCGTTACTGCGTTGCACGCGATCTTTGAGCTGCGCACGAAAGACGTGTTCCAGGTGAGCGTCGCCATATCTCGCCTCCAATGCCTCAAGGAGCTGCTCGTAAGTCACTTCCTTACCGAGAGCTTCCAGAACAGTTAATGCCTGGTCGCGCAGGCCTAGGGTGAGAGCAGTCATGGCCTGACTTTTATTCCAGCCGTTCGCTTTCATGACAGCCTCGAACTGGATTTTATAGGCCGACCAGGAAGAAGTCCCGTCGAACGGTGGCACTTTGAATCCACGTAGCGAAGGTGTTGTAGCTACCACGGGAGCTGTAACTCCATCCCCAATTTTGAGGTCGTTCAGCGTTTTCTTCACGTCAGCCATCACATTGTCAACCCGATTGTACACTTGGTCGATTCGGGTTCCATCTTCCGACAGGCGGTTGTCATATTGAGCAACCTTATCCTTCACCTCACTTATTTCTTTCCCGAAGGTAGCGTGAAGGTCCTTCATGAGAAGTATCTGCTCTTCCTTATCGCGTTTGAGCTGCTCTTCCAACCGACGGCCCTGTTCCTCCTGTTGGCGGGCTTGTTCCTCCTGTCCGCGCTGCAGCTGCTCTTCCAACCGACAAGCCTGTTCCTCCTGTCGGCGGGCCTGTTCCTCCTGTCGGCGGGCCTGTTCCTCCTGTCGGCGAGCTTGTTCCTGCAGCATCATCATCAGAGTACCTAAGTCAGGTGCTGCAGATGCAGGAGCTGCTGACGGGCCGGCCTCCGTGGTCGGCAACTGGCCTGCCGACGTCTGTGACGTTGCACCACCAAATCGTTTCTGGTCCGTCTCCTGTTGGCGTTGACTTCGGGTACGGATACCCTCGGTGTCGTCTTTAGGTAAAATCGGCATATTTGATCCCACTTCTGACACCAATTGTTACGAGCTTGGGGTTCGAGACAATTAAAAACTGCCGATTGAATTTCCAAAATTGACACTTTAATTATACAACACTAATTACAATCTAAAATCACACTAATAATAAAACACAGTTCGCCGTTATTTCTCTTCGAAGCATTCTCTTGTATCGCTAATTCAATACTGCTTCGGTCGTGGTCTATACCGGCCTTATATAGGCCCTCAGATAGTTTCCAGAACCTTCTACTGTAGCGACATCTAGAATGTTCGAGTACATATCGGTCCCGAAATTTCTGGAAGGATCTTGACTCTCCTAGTTCTGCTACTCGACACTAGAGGGCGCTAGTGTAACTAGTGTTGCCATGTACAAGACATTAATAGTGGCGCGCAACAATATTATCGCAAAAACATGCGCATTTTATACCGTCTGATATGCATATCAAGAACAAGTGTATATATCATTCACAGATTGAGTTTGACAGTATTATCATTAAATTTAAATTGAGAATGGAAACCGAAACAGTTGACCCTGAAGTGGTTGTGTAAGTATATGCACTGCCCCATATCATCCCGGGGGTATCGTAAGAGGTGACAGAGAGAAACAAAAAGGTGATGGGTAGTAGCGTCTTCTTAATAACAACTAAAAAAATACTTTTTAATCAAAGTTGTAATACTTCGAATAATCTAACTCAAATATAGTGCGCTAATTTTGCATAATATTTAAATTTTATTCTAAAATCAATAATCTACTTACTACAGGATGAGATTTCAGCAAATCGTTCCTATATTATATAAACCTATGTAAGTCTATTGTCGACAGTAACAACAGCAGTTAAACATTAAAATGTGTAAAAAAAAAGAAAGGATAAAAGTGCCCATTTGTATGCGCAAGCACTGGTGCACTCTCTACTCCTTCGCTCTCATAGTCCGATGGGATTGTAATCCGACAAGACCGGAGAAAAATCAGATGTAGGACCAACGGCTTTACGTGCTTTCAGTTAACGACCCGAAATAAAAACCCAGGACCTCATGATAGACAATTGAGTAATTTCTACTAGACCAACAAGACAGTCTTACTTCGTCATTACTCAGTGTGACTATCATATCAGTATACTATCGTGATTGTTTTATCCACTTTTAGCCGCCTTTACACGATACGTGCTTTCACTCGCGATAGGAGTGCGCGCGAGTGAACGCGGGAAAGCTTGCACGCGTGATTGAACTCGGGAAAGCTTGCACGCGTTATCGTGAGTGATTGTTTTTATCCACTTGTAGCCGCCTTTACACGCCACGTGCTTTCTCTCGTGATCGGAATATGCGCGATTGAACGCGGGAAAATTTGTACATGCAAATGTGAGTGATTATTTTATCAATTTTTATGTCCGTTGACTCTTTCACGCGTTATTACTTCTGCATTTTTATTCGGAGAGGAAAGAGCGTCATGTAAAGTGCTCATGATTCAGTATGGGAAACTTCCGCGACCTGGAGTGTTTGAAAATCACGCAGTTTGTTAAACGTGTGTTCTAAAGGCTAGTGTTCTAAAGAAATGGACAAAAGGATTTTTTGTTTGCCAGTCTAAGCATATAATAGATTTTTTTATTAATTTATTTTTATATATTACTTTTAATATATTATTAAATAAAATCAAACCTCAGACCTTGCTCCATAATTTAATATCCGTCATTTTACGAGGATACGTGAGCGGACGACGCGCGCTAGCATTCTCGTTCTTCTTTTATATGTTTACATGCGCGTTCTTTCCCGCGCAAATACCGATTCACGCATATAAGTAAAAGTGGCTATTAACTGCATTAAAGCATTTTATATTAGATGTTATTATAAATTCGTATTTGTGTAATGGTAGCAAGTTAGTTATAACATTTAATCACAGATATCTTATAAAATGTTAGCGTTTTAATTGATTTTTATATTATATTTCAACATTATTATTTAGTAATTATAGTAAGTTTATAGAGTAGAGTATAAGAGTTGAGTATAAAGAGAGAGAGAGAGAGAGAGAGACATTAGGTTTAATTGTAATTTTACTTTTGAATTTCTTATAATTAATAGAAAATTAACTGTATCTATGTTTGATTATTATATTCTAATTTAATATTTAAATGAGTGTGTGGATTTTAGGACTTGTAAGTAACACAGCGCTATAAATGTAATGAAATTATCGTGGATTATCTTTCTATATAAAAATTGACGATTGAATTAGAAATTTATGTTATACAATTGTTTTTAAAAAGTTTAGAAATTTAGTTCAAATAACGTAAATTTTAAATTACTGCCTTTGCAAAAAACTTAGATGTTTCAGTACTTTGACCTTTAAAAATAATAATCACAGGAATAAAGTATTATACTCTTTGGTTTAGTAGATTTTAGAATTTTATGTGCTTCTTTTAAGTGTTGGCAGCACCGTCAAAAATCAAATGCAAAACGCCATTTACTCCAAAAAAAAAAAAAAGCAAAACGCAATCATTTTCAAAATGGCGTTCGTTTAGGTTGTTTGTTACTGTTTCCTTTTTATTTTATTTTTAAATTTAGAACTGTAGACTCAAAACTAAGGTATTTTGGCACTTTTATTATTTTAACAATCTATATTGTTCAAAATTTGAGTTAATTGCTTAAATTTGTAACTTTGCAGTGGAACATGGGCCGTTCGCCAAGTCCGCGGCGGCGTGATGAAAGACGCGACAGACGGGACAGAGACCGAGACAGAGATCGTGAAAGAAGACGGCCGCGAACTCGATCCCGATCGCGGTCCCTAGAAAGGAGGCGTCGGTCTCCCGATCGACGGCGGTCTCCATCCCCACGACGACGTCGATCGAGATCCACCTCGCCAGTTACATCTACATCCTTCGTACCAAAGCCCAGAAAAACATTTGGCGAGCGACCTATTGTCACGCCCGCGGACTTGGAGGGAAAAACTCCCGAAGAACAAGAGATGCTTAAGGTAATGGGTTTTTGCGGTTTTGACACCACTAAAGGTAAGAAAGTTGAGGATAACATTGAGGGCGAGGTCCATGTTGTATTAAAACGAAAATATAGACAATATATGAACAGGAAAGGCGGATTTAACAGGCCACTCGATTTTGTAGCTTAGCACAGTGACGCACAAACTGACTGTCGCCGTATTTCTGGTCGTGAAGACCTGCAGGGTCGAAGAAGTTACGTTATAAATCGGAATGTAACATTAGCACTATTTTGTGATATTTATTTAATAGCTTGTTCTTGGTTAGTTTCATCACACTTACAAAATATTAATAGTTGTAACTTAATTTACTTTTCATGAAATGTTCTGACCTATTTAAACATTTAACAGTGACACTGGTACATGTGATGAATGTCATACATAAATATATAATGGTCTACATCATTTCACATAATACATTTACTGGTCAAATGCTGTACAAGACTTTCTTCTGTCTGAGAACAAACCAACAACAAAGAACTAAATAGGATATTATTAGTGACAGAAGCCTACTCACGTAAACCAATATCTGTTAACAGGAGTATTAGTAACATTAACAGTACTACTAATAATATTCTTTAAAAATATATAGTAACACTAGTATGGGAAGAAATACTGGGTGAAACACTACTTATGAATGAAATTGACCATGAACACCATGGACTTATATAAAATAACTTAAATGGTAATCATAACAACTTTGATTAGTGAATTTTAATTATCATAAACACTGATTTTATACAAATCTGCTAAGAATTTAATTTCAAAAACAACAAAGTGGTCATATTCCACAGAGGGTGTGATGTTTCACCAAGAACAAGCATTTAAAATGTTTTTTACCTAGCTGTAAGTGTTATTTACATTGTTTTCCACATTTTTACTGAAAACAAACTTGTCAAAGCTGTGGCTGTAATACTTCATCATCAGTTTTGAAGTATTCCAATGATATTTTAATGCTTAGTAATATTCTACAAATGTTACTCTGGAAGAGTTATATCTCCATCTAGTTTGTCCAAAATCTAGTATGTGTAGTCTAGTATAATCCCCTTTAGGGTTTCAAAAAACTGCCAAAAAGGAAACTACTAAATTCGACCTTATAACTTTTTACTGGATGAACCGATTAGGATGATTCTTTTTTATTTGAAAGCTGATACTTCTCCGTGTGGTCCCATATGAATTTCATCAAGGTCAGACCAATAGTTTTTGAGTTATTCTTAATAACTCTTGTTGAAGTCGGCTGTACAAAATTTTTAATTTTAAATTATTTATGTTATGATTTTTGTCATAACTGAATGACTTAAAACCATTTTTTTTTTAAAACAGTGATGATAAACCTTTATGAGTAGGTCAAACTTTGCTTTGTTACTTGTGGGTCAAAGAAGATCAAAAAAAAGTCTGCTATATAAGATGCCAGAGCTCCCAAAAAGTTATGAATGCCATATTCCTATATTAAGAAATATTTCGTTATCCATAACAATCTGTTTTATTACACAAGAGGTGCATGTAAAAAGTATTTAATATAAATAAAATTATTTATTTTGCAACTTACGATTACTTAAAAAGAAATAACTTTAAGTAGTATGTAAGTTGTTGAATCAGTATGTTGTTTTAAAAAATAGTTTTTATGCACTTTATGTATTGTGAAATGTTTTGTAAGGGATAACTATACATTTTTTAAATATAGCTACTCTGCATAAGTGCCAATATTGGTAGAATTGTTTTTGATTGTGACTGGCTAGATGTTAATTGAGTATACATTATACTAAATTGTTTGAAGGTATTGCAACCACAGCTCTATATTCTGCCGTGAAACTGTGAATAAACAAATAGAGCAAATTTTTGGAAACCGAATGAATTACTTAATATGATAACTTCTTACTTTATATGAAAGTAGGAAATTTTTCCATTGGAATTCTAAGTTATTATGCAGTTGAAAGTAAGAAAGCCGGTTGAACAAACCACTTCTATGAACTTAAAATTACTAAGACAGTTTCATGGCTAAATGTTAGTATTAAGTTAGCTTTAAGTCCGTTACCACAGTCCCCGCGCGCAGCTCCGGCCCGCGCGGGTCCAGTCCGGCGCTCGGCGCACCAAGAAACTTGACGCAGTGTGCTCGGAACCGACCCTCTGTGGTCTCCATGTCTTGTAACTAAAGTATTGTACAGAAGCGAATAATATCATTGACCCTATTAATGTTGATTGCACTCATTGAGCATTTAATACAACATGTTACGAGAAAACCAGCTATAGAACTAAAGTTAAGAATTTATTGTCTATTTAATAGTCTGTTCTTGATATATATATTTTTATAATGTTTATATGTTAGGGAGTGAAATTTTTCTTATAATTAGATTTGATTTCACATGCATTTAATTGTAGCAAGACCATGGAGACTGTAACATAAGACTGACGCTGCCTGTTCCTTATATTTTCGTTGCTTGCGCGGCGTGCCACACACACAACTTAGCAATAGCGTAGATACAGAGTTATTTACACACACTATACACTAATCCCCTACCCCCACCTCCCCATCCTCCACAACGTACAATAGTCAAGACTTTCAAGTCAGAGTGTGGTGTTTTCAGTAATCCATTGTTTTATTAAAGATTAATTTTTTTGCTTTTGAAAATATCCAAATAATTTCATACTTGAGTTGTATTATACATTCTGAAATTAATGTTTCATATTTTAGTTTTTATTAGTAACAATTACTTTTAAATATGTAATCATGTAATTTCTTTTGACATCTTTAATAATACAGGGATTTCTAAAAACATCACTCTCTGTCATGATAGTCTCAATAGCCCATATATGATATACACTGGTTGCTTGAAATGTGATATTTTTTAATAATTTATATTTTTGCACCCACGTCGCGCGGGGGGTACTGGCAGCGATGACAAGTCGCGCCCAAGCACACTGCCAGGTTTGTCACAACATCTGCACTTGAATGAATCCGATCTATCCAATTCATACAATAGATATCACAGAAACAATAATCATTTAAACCTGCTAAAAAGAATGCAGGTAATTTGAAACAAAGTGTTATTTGGCTTTTACGTAAAAAATGGCAGTTGTTCGGATTGCATCACTGGTGAAAATATATCCATTTTTTAAATAAAAAAAAAAATCCATAAAACTGCTTTATTAATATTTTGTAAGAAAAATGGCCCCAGATGTTATTGTCACTGGCGGCACCATTGAATAATTTTTTTCCATGAATGTTGTTTGGTTGTCAAATCAAAAATGTATGTAAAATGTTTTATTTTTGCTACAAAATTTTACTTTGAATTTAACATTAGAATTGGGTATATGAAACTTTAGTCAGTTGAAATAAAAGTATCAAATTACTCATTAATGATGGTGCCAACTACCCAATGAGGACTTTTTATGCCACCAGGGCGGCGCCACTTAGAGATGAACTTTTATTATAACGCAACTTCTCAATTATAATGACATTGTGTAACAAATAAGTTCACCTCACTAAACTAGCAATATCTGGTGAGTGTAAAATTAAGCTTTCATTACTTTTGAATTATGTAAAATTGATGTTGCAGAATATGTACCGATATTGTTTAATTACAATTAAATTTTGTTACAAATGAGATTCATTCCCACTGTACATACCACCAATAAATTTGATAAGTCAAAAATAAAATTTAATTGAAATGTAAATTTTGGTTGTTAGGAATTTATTTTCTATTTGAAATTATGAACATTTATAATCAAAATTTAAATGTATAAAGGATCCTTGGAATTGTGTAGAGATAATAAATTACATATTTTTGTTTTGTAAAGAGGTTTCAATAATAATAACTTTTATAGTTAATGGTTATTATGTATTAATGGGTAAATAATAATTTATTATTTGTTGTTTCACACTATCGATTAGCCTTAACTATAAAATTATTTTTTAAATTAGTGAAAAAGATGACTGATAAATATTTCTTTTCAATAAAAAAGTTTCATTAGTTACAGTCACTATTCGTGAACCATTGTGTAAATTTCTAATTAGAATATTTTATATTGATTTTAAGGCTGATCGAATGTGCAATAGCTATTCTTAGAGATCCAAGGATTCAAAATTTCAGAATAAACAATTTTGGAATCAACACTGTGTTTTATTTCACATGCCACTTCTACATGGATCGCTTACTGTCGGTCACTAAAGGTTCATAAATTTGGGTAAGCCTTGCTAGTAAAATTTACATGTACATAGGCTGCACTAAAAGTATCGTGAATGGAATATTTCCACTGAACAAAAGAGTTTTTAGAGCAAGAAAACATAGAATTATTAGACCATCCGCCGTACAGCCCCGTTCCATGGTATGGAAAAATGTGTCAAATTTCGCGGAGAATACTTCGAAAAGCAATAAATACATTTTTAAATAGTAATGTTTTGTCACTTCCTTGATTCCCGAAATTTTCAGTGCCGCCGTCGTATTTGAGCACTGAATTAATAAGTTATGAATATACATTCAAAGTTTTCTATTATATAGTAGAAACCTTTTACTAAAAGGTAATAACTCTACACCTTATATTTCTTTTGTCAAACAGTTGACAAACGATATATGTCTGGAATGAGGGACCAGTTTTAACGTAACTATCTATAAATTGTAAACCGTGTAGTGGCGGTTAAGAATACCCACTACCCCATATCTTCCCGTGGGTGTCGTAAAAAGGGACAAAGGGAAACAGGCAGGAGATGGGCAGCAGCATCTTCCTGATAACAGCAAAAATACAATAAAAAAACTGCGGTTGCCAACCCGCTCGCCAAGCGTGGCAACTATGGCATATGCCCCGCAAATGGATAAAGTTACTAAGAGACGGCCCCCAGTCCCCAGCGGCCCCGCTATTCCTGGCTACGGTGGCGATATGGTAACGGCGGGGCAGGGGTGCTAAGAATCTCCGGTGGAGGTTCGGTTGCCACCTACGACGACTCGACCTGGCAACATACAACGCACGCACCCTGAGGACTGACTAGAAGATTGTAGAACTGGAAGAGATAGACAAGTTACACTGGCATATTATAGGATTATCCGAAGTCCGAAGCGAGGGGGAGGAAACGGTATTCCTCGAATCCGGCAACTTGCTCTATTACCGGGAGGGCGAACATCTGTCCCAAGGAGGTG